GTTATGAACCCAAACTAGGTAGAAATGCCGATTCCCAAACCCAAACTAAGTAGAAACGTCGTAACTAAAAAAAAGTGGTTGGGCCGCAACCCTAATCATCATGGTGCTTGTTTAGTTGCTCCTGACGTCGAATTTCAGCTTGAGAAAGTTTTTCCTGTAATTTGGCCAAACCCTCTTTGTTATTCGCGTCAGATAGACGGCGATGTTCTTCGGCGACTTTTTTTGCGTGAGCAACTTCATTTGCAGCTTTCTGGGCCTTTTCAGCGTCTAACTGTTTCTTTCTCTCTTCCGCAGCTATGAGTTTTGCGTTGATGTCTTCTCCCGAGGCCTTCTCTGCATTTAACCTCTCCAAAAGATGTTTGGGTGGGGACGCATCAGGATTTTCTTTAATGTCAACGTCAAAAGCGATGGAAGAAGGGGTTTCTTCGTTGGTGCTCATTATGACAAATAGCAGATAACAAGTAAACAGGTAAACTTTGTTTTAGTTGAAGTAGGATTGAAAAGCAGTTAGACTTTTAAAAAGTTATATATTTGTGAGAAAATACATGTCGCAGATCAGTTTACTCCTTTTATAATGCAGGAGTAGTACGACTACTAATTTACATTACTTAATAAGATCGACTATCTGATATCTAATACGTAATAAACCAATCAACAATACAACAATACATTTTAGTCTTGCTTTGGACTTCATTTCGAAAACTCCAAATGATCATGTACAATAAATAAACAATCTTAAGTTGGAAAAAAATGTTTGGTGATCTGTTAAATACGACAAACAATACTTGTCATCTGATTTTATCTCAGGAGATAATACGTATTTGTATTGCGAACTATTAAATAAAGTTATTTATAAAGGATTCGAAGCATTTTTATCCCTTGGATGAATATATTCAAGGTACGTACGTATACTTCGTTACTTATTTGTTATACTGTATTATATATTCTAGAATATTAAAGCTTCTGATATTAAATATTACAACATTGGGAGTATGTGCCGTTTGCATTATCGATACGCCACACATGTCGATCATTAATTGATAAGATTCAACAATACAATTTGATTGGATAAATTGGATTAGGAGTACATTATGTCATTGTGATTAGCGGCCAAATTTTGGTGGTATGCCATATAGTAATTTAATGGCGTGCCAGTGGCATCATTACGGCGACTTTTTATATTAGCCTAAAAATTATGACGCATATTTAGCGGATGTGTAGTTGAAATATTTAGTTGCATAA